TAACATTTCCACCCCAGTAATTACAAGGCCCCCTTTTCGCTCCTCCTCTCTATTCCTTTTGTAATTTTCATTATGTATATAATTTTGAGTTCAAAATGGAATAGTTTTTTAACATCATTTGGTCATAATCGTTCCCATCTGCTAGCCATTCAGATATTAATTTCAATTTCTTCATTCGATGTATGAACAATTTCTTCAAGTACTTGTAGTTGTGAATATGCATGACACATAAACCTCAAACAATTTAAAGTTATATGATTTACATTCACCCACCAATTCATAGTTTTTTGACTACTATTACTTTTAATGAAATTCCCCACAATTACTTTTGCATCTATAGACCATTAGTAACAACTTTTCCCTGTGGATCGTTTGATGCTACCATCATATTTATATCCATAGAACTAAATGTAGACCGCCCGAACTCCGCTCTGCGCACGAGGGCGCGAATTGTGGTTCTAGCTACTACAGTTCGGACTCCTGTCACGGTTCTGAATCCAATCTCACAAAGTGCAATGTAAGACTGAGAAATCACCAAAGAGTCCAAATCCAGCAAATCGTTTTGGGAAATCGATTTTAATCAAAAAGCGCCAAACATGGACTGCTTTGCCAGATTTCAGAGTCTCCACCTAAATATTTTATTTTGGGAAATTTAGGAAACCCTGACTCGTGCCTAAGGCCATGTGTCCGTCATCACCAAAGTTGCCTCGGCTCAGGAACTTGGGTACGAGAGGGGAAGGTCCTGAAATGAGCACCCCCGCTCGCCCGATTAAAGATCGGCCTCTACTAACAAGATATGTTGTTTTTGAAAACACATGTGTTCTTATTCCATTTTATTAGCTAGCTTACTATGTGATGCGTACAGCACACAAGTATAGACTCAATCGCAAGAATTGGAACAAAACATCTCATGTTTGTTTTTCGAAAATGGTTTGAAGTTGCTACTCTCAAGTAGGCTAAAATGCGGATTTGCCACCCTCCAGTGGGCTTAATAAAACATGATGATTTGCCACTTCAAGTGGGCTTAAAACGCACATTTCGATGAATTGAGCAATGAAGCCTTCATCCACAAGCAATCATGCAGTTTATCAATTAAGCAAATAGCCTCATGGCGAGCATGCTATCATGGCAGTCACTTACACACATGCAAGGATGCTAAAGCATAAACATTCACAGTGTACTCTGAGCCAAAAAAGAAGCTAGTTAGTAATCAATGCATGATCCTAACTATGTTAAGATGCCTGATGCAACACATGCGAAAATGCAACTAAATTAGGCTCGGCTATCTAGAATGGCATATGAATGCAGCTATTTGATACATGCATTCAAATAGGAATTGAAATACAATGCAGTTTGAATGATGCGCCGAGCCTGGTGCATGCAATACGAATGAATGATGCACGCATGCAAGCATAAGGTATGCTAACCAAAATATGCCCTAATCTAACCAATGAAAACGGATAAATAAAAGGGAGAAGGACGTGGGGTTGGAAGACATTCACACACACACGCACACTTATTACAGCATTGTGCCCTCTCAACGGAGGGTCCGAATGAATACACTAAGCTAGCTACGCTAAGCTAATCAACTAGTCTAATAATCTAATTAGACTAATTATTACACAACCAAATTGAATAACTAGCTACAACTAATTATTACAAACCAACTAATCAAACAAATTAATTAAGTTACAACACCGAATGCTAATTAACAAGTAAAGCATTAAATCAGGCTGCCTCAGCTCTGCCTTGAACAAGGAAGGATGCATGGTCTCGATTCCTGTCCCGAAAAGCTCTCCAAATGCTCTTTAGAGGCTCTGTCTGCAGGGTGCCCTTGAGAACTAGCTGCCGGATCTCACCAAAACAGTGTTGAGGAGTGCACCAGTGGCCTGCCGGCCATGATAGGTGGTGGCCGACCTCCCTGCCAACCAAGAGTGCACACTGCTGGCCATAAATGAAGATCTGCTGGCCAACAATAAGAGGGTGCCGGCCACTGGTGTGTTGTGACACCAAGCTGCAGCAGAGCACAAAATAGAGAAAAGTGAGGGTCTCCCAAGGGTATGTATGCACTATGCCACTCCATATCACCTCAAAACATCAAGGGAGAGGAAAAATCGGATCCAGACCGTCAATCACGCATCTCGATGCATGATAGCCAAAGATCCAACTTATACAAATTTCAATAAATACATGACAAATAAGACACCAAGACCATCTCCTTATCATGAGGAATCAAAGGAAATGGAGACTAAGGGAGATTGGCTCATTTCATCACTTCAAATATGAAATGAACCAATCTTCCTCGCGTTCAATACGACATCCGATTGAATGCAATGCAAAACATGCAAACAACATGCTAATCTTGGCTGAAATGCACTATTCTAACATGCAAGCAATCATGCACAACATATTATGGGGGCCAAGAATACCAATGCTAGTGAAAAGGATAACACTATAAGCATGCATCACAATGCTCAAACATCCAAACCAGCTTAAAATAGAGTTACATCATGCCCAAAACAGTGGCAAAACATGCTAAGATAGAAGCTCAAAAGACTATACAAACATGCATGCATGTTAGGCCATAAACAAGGCACAATGCTCAACTCTCAAAGTCATTGAAAGAGTGATATATGGAGTGCAATGGCATATGTTCTAGCACTGATATGACATGCAAAATGACTTGGGATCATACAAACAAACCATGTAATGCATGTTGAAAGGCCTAAGCATCAAAGCTAGTGAAGTGTATTACACTAGAGGCATGCAAGGCAATGCTCAAATGGCCAAGCCAACCCTAAACAGACCTTATGCAGGCCAAAACAGTAGCAAAAATGGACTGAGATGATAGCTTGAAAGGCAAGAAAATGAGGCTCATGCAATGGCTCACAAATAAGGCATAAAGGTATAACTCTCAAGAGTACTTAAAGAGTGGAAAATATGGAAGTGCAACAACACTATATGCTATGAAATATCATTCTAAATGATGCCAAAACATGCAAATACCTCAAGTTAAGCATGCAAGATTCCTCAAAACTCAAGGCTAGTCAAAGCTTTTGCACTACAAGCATGCATGACAAGCATCATTCGACCAAGAAGCCTCAAAACAAAGCTAAAACATGTTAAAACAAGAGTGAAAACTTGCTGGAATAGAGCCAAAACATGCTAGAATAACGGATCAAAGTATAAAGCATGTTAGGCTAGCAAGGCAAAATTATACTACAAGTGTATGAGCCACTCGAGAGAAAACCAAACCAGCCAAAAACAGAGTCATGTCAAACCTAAAAACTCACAAAAACAAGCTCACACCATGCTTCAAGAGTATAGAGATACATGCTCATTTGATAGGCCAATAACACAAGCAAACAAAACAAGAAGAGAGGGGATCACCCCCTCTGATTTGAGTCCTCAAAACCACATGTCTACTACTAAAAATCCACTGGATTTCAGTGGCTAAAAGGCCAAGTAAAGACTAACTCAAAGGCCTTAAGACATGGTTCAAAACAAGGCCAAACAAGGCACACAAGAGGGTAGAACACCCTCAACACCAAAGAGGCCTTAAACAATCATCAAAAACACTTAAATATAGAACTTTTTTCAATTGAAAGCAAGGCCTAAAACAATATGCAAGGATGGCCAATATGGTATACAAACAAAAGCTTAAAAGGGGAATACACTAGTCTAATTGTTGACGAGATTAATATTTTTTTATGGAATATCACACATTGCGATATAAACATGAGTGATTGATTTATTGATTCACTTTGTTCCATAGTAAGGAGACAACTATACAGATATTATGCAACAAAATATTACCAATTCTTTTTAAACATATTAAACAAAACACAAAATACAACCGAAAATATTAACGTGTGCGTTGACAAGTATGATATTCTATCAAAAATGGCGATCTGAAAGTACCTTAAATTCTAATAGTGTAATTTATACAAGTCTACCTATATCTTATCACATTTTAAAGCATGTGGTGTAGCACTCCACGTATTAGAACTATCCACATTCTAGGTAACATAGCTCTAGATCATAGGAAATTTGTAATATGACCAATATTATGGTTAGTATTATATAAGATTTTAATGAGTGAAATCTCAGAAGTGACAAAGAAATATCTTCTACATTGTCCTAGCCGTTTTCCCTTTCTTTTTCTGGTTCTCCCTCCTAACACTCTTCATTTCCCACAGCCCCTATCTTGTTCCTTCTTTTGACGCCACCCATTGCCACGTCTACACAGAGCCCATCCTTATTTTCCTCTCTCCATTTCTTTCCACTTACACTATATACATACATAATATATGAAATTTTAAAGAAAATATGAATGAAATATAAGTTTTTTTTTTCTTTCTTTCTATATTTCTCTTCCCTTTTCTTTTTTCTTCACAAATTTTAATCCAAACACAAGGTACGGTGGGGCCATTTTTATTCGTCCTTCACTGTTGGAAATCGGACTTTTAGCGGCGTTTAAAAAACGCCGCCATATGTATCAAAAACGCCCCTAATTCCTTTTGTGGCGTTTAGTACCAAATGTCGAAGCTGCGGCCATCACTGTAGCTTTGCGACGTTTTAAAAACGTCGTGATATTAGTATAGGTGACGTTAAAAAATGCCGCCAAATGTCCCACTATACACACGCTGACGTCACCAACAATATTTAGCGACGTTTTTGAAACACCGTCGTATCTGTTTTAAAAATATTACCGTTACTGTTGAGGGTTTAGGAGGCGTTTGTAGAAACGCCGTCATATCTTCCTTTTGGGGGGGGGGATATTATGCTAATTTTATTTGATTAAATTAAAAAGAATACCTGTAAGAAAATATTGAATTTAGTTTCTCATTCAATTAATAAAAAAATACCTGTAATAAAACTAACATACAAACTATTAACTCCCGTTCAAATACCTGTAATAAAACTAACATACAAAATATTAACTTCCATTCAAATATTTGTAATAAAACTAACATATAAAATAATAACTCCCATTCAAATAACAAATGAAGCATTAATTCAATTTCTCATTCAAAAAAAAACTAACAAACCGTGTTTAAGTAAGAGACTACAATTTGTAAAATTTTGATTCCAGATCTGCTAAAATGAAAAATCCATCCATCTTGTCATAAAACATAACCCACCAAACTCAAATCTTGTCTCAAAACTGCCACAAAAAGTAAATTAACTCCTCTTGAAACAAAACAATTAGATAAAGATATTATACCAAGACAAAACTCAAAGACAGAAAAATCTCACTGGGAGACTCCCAACCACTTTGAGAAGTTTTCAAACTCGGTGTAATCGCTGTCGGAGATCATAGTCTGGTACTATGCCTTTCCTGCAGACTTGCTTTTGGTAGCCTCTTCCTGTTAATGATGAAAAGGTCAAAATTATTCATTTAGAAAAAAGGATCCAAATGAGGCCAATTGTCTACATATCAGTTTCTATGCACTGAATGATTGACAGAACTGAATATTATTACAGCAAAGTGATCAGAAATACACGTACACAAGTATAGTCTCAGTATGCACTTCTAAACTACTGAGCTAAATCATATGGTACTAATTATGGTACTTAACTAGGAACACTTTGTAATACTGCTGGGATTTGATAAGCAGCATTTTGACTGAAGATAAAGAATTTTCTACAGCCATAAACTGCACTGAGCACCATTAACAGAGGATATAACCAACAGGGGTAAACAATTCAGACTAGCCACCAATGTCATGTATAATATAACCAATAAGAAACATGACACTAGAAAATTGAAGGGAAATGTAAATAACATGTAAGCTAAATATTATTCACATTTTGTTTCCCTTTTCTTTTTTCCCCCTCCACAAACCCCCCACCAAATTGCCAACTAATTAACTAACTAACAAGCTAATTAATTATTACACAACCAAATTGAATAATAAGCAATCTACTAATTATTACAAAACTTAATTAACTAACAAAATTAATTAATTAACTACAAATGAAAAGCAACACACAATGCTGCTCCAGCTCTGTTCAAAGAGGGATGCATGCTCGCACTCGGTTTCTCGCCTCAAAACACCTTCCGGTTGCTCTTGGAGGCTTTGTCTGCAGGGTGTCCTTGAGAACTTGCTGCTGGATCTTACCAAAAACATGCTGGGTAGTGCATCAGTGGCCTGCCGGCCATGGGGAGCCACTGCCGACCAAAAATGAAGGGGTGCCGGCCAACAATAAGGTACTGCCGCCTATCTGCAAGGCACTGTCAGCCACTGATGGGCTGGGACACCAAGCTGCAATAGAGCACAAAACAGAGAAAATGGAGGGTCTCCCAAGGGTATGTACGCATTATGCCACCCCATATCATCTCGAAACATCAAGAGAGAGGCATAGGCGGATCCACGACCACCAATCACGCACCTCGATGCATGATGGCCAAAGATCCAACTTGTGAAAATCAATATGAAATGAATGCACAAATAAACACATAAAGCCTAAAACTCTATCATGTGTGATCAAGAGCGTTGGCGACCGAAAATTGAGACATGTTTCATCACTTGAAGTATGAAACGCCCCTCGTTCCTCGTGCTCGGATTAACACTTAATGCAAACAACAATGCAATGCAAGGATGGAACACATGCGACTCAAACAAACAAACATGCAATGCAACTATATGGCATACTCGATGTTAACTTTAACATGCAATCATGCAATATGACTTAAGCATGCAAAGTGTAATGTAATAAACATGCAATAACATGTAATAGAACTAGCATGCGACAACATGCAAAAATGGAGCAAGCATAGAACACTATGCAAGACAAGCATGCAACAACATGCAAGGAATGGATTTAAACCAAAATGGGCAGACCTCAACTATGCCCAAATCAATGGCCAAAAGTGATGAATCAAGTCACCAAAATACACACAAGCATGCAAAATGGAATGGCTCATCAAAGAGGCCCAAGAGCACAACTCTCTAGAGTGCATAAGGAGTGACAAATGTGCAAGTGTAACAACACTAAGTGCACTAAAATTAAGTAAGAAATCATGCCAAATCATTCAAACGACACAAGTACGACATGCAAGGGCCCTATGGCAAGAAAGCTAGCAAAGAGTGAAACAAAGGAGGGGGGACATCCAATACATGGCATAAGTGTGTGAAGCAGGCATGAACAGAGCTTAATTAGGTCTAAACAAAGACTTAAACATGCTGAGATGAAGGCTCGAATACCTAGGCATGCAAGCATACAAGCTAAGCCATAAACTAGGCAATAATGCACAACACTAAAAGACACTTAAAGCATGAATGAAGTGGGAATATGACAATGCTACATGCTCTGAAATAAAGCATTAAATGATGCCAAATCATCTAAATAGCTTAAACATAGCATGCATGAAGCATCAAAACACAAAACTAGCAAGACCAATTACACTACAGCTATACGAAGCAGGAAGGATATGGCAAAGGCAACCCTGAATAGTCCTAAAACATGTTAAAGTGATACTAAAACATGCATGGAAGTAAGCCAAAATAAGCTAGCATGGTGAGCTTGAGACATGGTGCATACAAGGCAAATAAGGTGGATTACACTACACCTATTAAGACCAAGCATGGGATGACTCAACCAACGAAAATCAGAGTTATATCATGGCATAATAACCCCAAAAACACATTGAAATGATGGCTTGCAAGCTAAGGCATGAAGGCACACACAATGATTCATGTTAAGGCATAAAGGGGGAAACCCTCCAACGCATTGAAAGCGTGTCAAATGCAGGTGTATGACCACATTTCATGGACTGAAATAACATTTAAAATGATGGCAAAGCATGCAAACATCACAGGTATGGCATGGTAGGGGCCTCAAAACCCAAGGCTAGCCTAAGCATTTACCTTATTCCTATACAAAGCATGAGTGATATGGCCATGGCATCCCAAAATAGTGTTAGAACACCTCAAAATGAGAACAAAATCATGTTGGAGCAAAGCCAAAATATGCTAGGATGATGAGTCAAAACATCATGCACATAAAGCTAGTAAGCAAGATTTGCTCTACAAGTATATAAAGCATGCAAAATGCGACCAAACCAACTATGGATAGAGTCATGACATGCCAAATGATGATCAAATACATGCTGAAATGGACTCAACATAAGCTAGGATGACATGCTAAAGCAAGAAGCTTACAAAGCTAGTTCATGAGATTTACACTACAAGTGTATTGCACATGCATGGAAAGGAAAAACCAACCCAAAATAGATCTAAGGCATGGTAAAACATCACCAAAAACCTACTGAAATGGACTCCACACAAGCTAGGAAAGCATGCTACTTTGATGAGCTACAAATGAGATTACACTACACATACAAGATGCATGCAAAAAGTGACCAAACCAGCCATGGAAAGACTTAAGGAAGGTCCTAAAAGTCACAAAAAAGGGCCTAAATCAAGCCTCAAAAGTACAAAGAGACATGCTCCTTTGGAAGGCCAAAAATGCAAGCAAACAAAAATCAAAAGAGAGCGGGCCACCCCCTCTGATTTGAGGCCTCAAAACCACATGCCTACCACTGAAAATCCACTGGATTTCAAAGGTTAGAAGGCCAAACCAAGGCTAGCTCGGAGGCCTTAAGGCATGGCTCAAAACAAGGCCAAACAAGGCCAACAAGAGGGTTGAAGACCCTTAACAGCAAAAAGACCTTAAATAAACTTGAAAAGCACTTAAAAAAAATACTTTTTTTTGTTGAAAGAAAGGCCTAAAACAATATGAAAGGATGGCCAAAATGAGGTACAAAAAAGTGCTAAAAAGGGGAAGAAACTCACTGTTGAAGATCAGCTTCGAAACCAGCAACTTCAGGGGGTAAAACCTCACTTTCAGAGCCCAAGAAACCCTCCCAAGAACCTCAGTCCAATGGTGGTGGTGTATCTCTAAGTGTTGTAGTGTAAAAGTGCAAGGAAAATAGACTTCAAGGCACAAATCACCAACAATATAGAGAGGGAGAGAGAGATATATTTCTTCTCCAAAATGCTGAACCTCTGCTAAGGAGAGAGGCCCTCTCCTTATATAGAAGGAAAACAATGCAAAGCTTCTTCAAGAAGCTTCGCAAGAGCTTCATCCTTCCATACACATGTATGGAGGGGAGATAAGAAGATTCCAGCTGGCTCAAAAGATCTGGAGGGAAACCAGCTGAGACAGGGGGTTTGCCGGCCATCAGAAATGGCCGACAGTGGCTCATTGATGGCCGACAGGCATCACTCAATGGCCGACAGTGGCAAAGGCATGGTCGGCAGGGCCAAAAAAGGGCCGACAGTGCCTTCCACAAAGCATGCAGAAAGGGCCAATACAAGGTGAAACAATGGGTAGGAAAGATACAGGGTTTAGAAAGCTCAAACCTGTGACGTTCCGTCACGACAGTTGAGTACTCTGTGAGCAATCGAACTAGTTGTTGGGTGTGCCTGCAAGCACAACCAAGTCTTGAGGACGGTCAAAAATGGGGTGTCTACAGTTGCCCCTCTTTGACAGAACTCAAAAGTCACAAAGTGACGGGAGTGAGGGTCAAAGCCCAGAGACGACCCATTTTTAACAAGGCCGAAGAGTCAAGCAAGCATTTAATATAACCATGCAGAGATGCGCCCGTAGGCTGGGGAAAAATGCAAATGACATGCAAGATGCGATAGCATAACTTATGATTATGTAAAGAAAAACTGTAATGAAGCAATTATGTACAATAAATGCGACATTTTAAGCAAGTGAATGATAGTCTTACATATTTCAACAGAAAGGATGTAAGAAAATTATGCAATTCTCACCACATCTCACGCGGAGTGAATACTATACCGTCCAGTTCGGCTGGTCGCGTCAGCTTCAAATAAACCGTACATACAATATCGTGCCTGTAAAAGAAAGAGACTCAACAGGTACAATATCGTTAGAAACATGCATAACAATGCAAGTGAAAAGTGCGTGACAACGCAAGTGAAGGGGTGTAAGACAATGCAATCTTGAGAGTGTGAGACAGAGTGGGTGGAACATGCGTAACAGCGCAAAGAAAACTTGCGTAACAGCGCAAGGCAGAGGCATGTGCAAAACATGCGAGACAACGCAGGTTATAAAAATGCGAAACAAAGCAAATAAAATATGCGAGACAACGCAGATTATAGGAATGCAAAATAACGCAAATAAAACATGCGAGATAACGCAGGTTAAAACATGCGTAATAGCGCAAGTTAAAGAAGAAGACATGCGTAACAGCGCAAGTAAAACAAGTAAAGCAGGTGTAACAGCGCCAGTAGAAGAAATAAAACCTGCGTGACAGCTTAAGTTAAAGAAGTGGACATGCGTAACAGCGCAATTAAAATATACGTAACAGCATAAGTTAAAAGAGATAAAACATGCGTAATAGCGCAGGTTAAAGAGATAAACATGCGTAACAGCGCAGGTTAAAAGGAGAAGAACATGCGTTACAGCGTGAGTAAAACAAGTAAATATGCATAACAGCGCAAATAGAAGAAATAAAACATGCGTAACAACGCAAGTTAAAGAAGATAAATGCGTAACAGCGCAAGTAAAGAAGACACGTGCGTAACAGCGTACATAACCTGCGTAACAGCATAAGAGAGGACAATAAATGCGTAACAGTGCACATAACCTGCGTAATAGTGCAAGTTAAGAAAAATTAGTGCGTAACA